AATAATTATTAGTTATTTTTAAACAATTGAACAATTGATAAACTAATTATAAATCAAATAGTATATCAAATACCTAAGTTGTTTCTAATAGTTTATAAATAATTTATTTAAAACATCTAACGTTATATTTATTTAATTTTTAAAACTAATCATTTTTTATAAATGATACAAACATAACCAATAATTATGTATAGAAAAATAGAAATATTAATATATAAAAAGTAAAGATTTAAAAAAATAATCTGTGATTACATTCAAAGTATTTGCGCTTTGTTTGTGACTTATATAATATATTTTCTTTTTGGTAAAACTTTTTTCCAAAGTCTAATCAAATTTTATTAGACATTGATTTAGATATATTAGTGAAGAGATGCGACAGTGAAATAGGCTATAAATTGACTGTAAATGATGAGACAATACAATGATATCAATGAATTTAATTGATACTCAAATTTTCACTCTTGTCTAATATATAGCTGTTATTAACACAGATATCAGTCAATAGTACTGTTGTTTACTATCAGTTCCTAGAATTGAAAAAAATATATATTAAATATAGTTTTTTAATTATACTTTACTTTATATACATATAGTTTATAAAATATTTGCAATATTATTGTAACATTGAAAATTCATATTAATATTAATAATTTTATAAATAGTTTGTTTATTAATAAAACAGCTATGAATAGTATGAAAGGTTTCTAATCTTTTAATTCTATTTTATATATATATATATAAAAATAAGTTTTTCAAATCTATAATAAAACTCAAATAAAATACATCAAAAATAAGCGGAAATTTTCTTATGATTTATAAATAGCTGAAGTATTTATTTATTTTATTATTATTATTGAAAAGACAGTGTGTTTGAAACATATTTTGGTTTCAATTTTACTCTTTACAGTATTTCTTAATAGATAATGTCATCATAAAATCAAATAAAACATCTTTCAAATTTTGAAATATTTTTTTCATATTTTTTTTAACAAAAATAAACTTTACATAAAATTATAATATATACTAATGCAGTATTTATTGACTTTCTATACAAATATTAATAAACATAATGTAAATATATTTTTTCCACTGAATAGTCTTATTATTAACTATACTAATGCTATTTATATAATAGATAAACAGTTTTTTTTATTATTAATAAAAACCCAAAATACTAATAAAAAATTGTAATTTATATAGTAATCTAAATTTACTTTATATATAATTTTGCATATTTATCATCAAACTATAATTAATCATTTTACGTTTAAATTTGATATCCTTAACAAATTAATTAATAATTTCAGATTATTATTATTATTGTATGACATGTTAATAAAAAATCATTAATCAATTGACATAAGGTTTCATTTTATTAAATTCATTGTAAATGATTTATATATATATATTATATTGATTTAAATTATGTTATAATATAAATAAAATAAATGTAACAAAAGTTGTATACATTAAAAATGGGAAAATGTTTGTTGAAAAAAATTCAATGTTATATGAAAATTGCAAAATAAATTGCCATTAAATTCAATGTGTGTATTAGTTTAACTTTCAAATATACTTTACTTTTTATACATGCATTATATAATACAGTATAACATTTATTTTTGAATGATCAATATTTTTCTATAAAAATCATAGAAATAGTAAGTAATAATACAATGAAAAATCAATATATATTTTATTTTATTTTAAAAAAATAAAATGCTTTGTTTAGATAAATCATTTTAAATTTAGCTGAATCTAACTTTCAAAATGGATATTTATTTTTATATTTTTTGATAATAAATAATTTTATTTCTTAGTCTACATTAATCTATAAGTCTAATATATAAAGTAATATCAAAACTAAAAATAAGTCATTTATTATTTCACTCAATAAAGTGTAAACATTTATCAAAAATAATTTTTAACCTTTAAACAACTTATTTATTGTATACACTATTAGATAAAAATTTTATAAATTAATGTGATTACTTTTTTATTGAATTTTTTTAATTTAGTTACTGTAAAAGTTAAATATTAATTAGGTTATATAAATTGTTTAATATAGAATATATATATAATTTTTCAGATGGCTTATCTAGATGTATAAAATTGATAAAAAATATTACTATTATATAATTACTAATTACAATAATAATCTAAAACTATTGTATAAATATGTATATCTAAACTGTATTTATAATATTATGGATTCTATAGATTCTATAGAATAAAATTTTATAAATAAATAACAATATAAAAACAGTATTAAACTTAAATTATTACTTTATATTAAACTTATTAATAACTATTTGATTATAATTGATATAATCTGTGAAATATAGTATAGAAATACTTATATTATTAATCCTTTAAACACTTGATCATTAAATTGCAATTAGAAATGGATTAGCAATTTAAAGCCAATAATTTAGTTAATAGATAACTGCACTGTATATGTATACAAGTATAACATAATATTTCTCTATGTGTAATCCTATATGAAAAGTATTATGTATTAAACAATATTATATAACACATATTGTAAATATAAACTGTAGAAGAGTTTGAATTGAACTCAACTCTTGATAATCAATGCCTGACAAAGATTTGATATACTTTATAAACTACAGTATACTATACACTATACGATACAACTTATAGGTTAAGACCCTAAAGTGTATTTGTATTGAAATTGTTTGCTGATGTTTGTCAGCTATATATCCAATATAACCCTAGAATACAGTATATCTATCTCAATATATCTATATTTTTGTACAAACAGTACAGTATATAATAGAATATATAATAGTAGTATAATATATCTGTAGTAATGATGTGCGAAAAATTTGAACATCACTTGACTTTATGTTAACAAAGATAAAGAAAGAAAGAAAGAAAGAGAGAGAAAGAGAGAGAAAGAGAGAGAAAGAGAGAGAAAGAGAGAGAAAGAGAGAGAAAGAGAGAGAAAGAGAGAGAAAGAGAGAGAAAGAGAGAAAAAGAGAGAGAAAGAGAGAGAATAGAGATAAACAGATAGACAGATAGGTTGACATCAAGATATAGATAGTATATGAAACAGCTTTTCATATCATAAGCTAACGACTTGTTTGTCACCGATTTTTTTCTTTTGTTTTCATCTAATAATAGTTGAATGAAATGATACTCTGAAAGTACAACAGGAGTACAGAAAAAAAATTTATATGTAAAGCATTTAATTTTAAAAATTAATACATTGTTTTGTATTAATAATTAATTGATATTCGACGACAACAACAACAAAATTAGACAAATTTATACCAATTGTTTTTATTGCTAACAATGTAGCAGTTTTGTTGTTGTTGTTAAATTGATATTATTTTCAATATCGTAAGATATATATAAAATGTTTTTCATATTATTTATAGTATATCAATATATGTGATAACACTTTTAAATAACAGTTAATTTCATTAAAGACTATATATTGTATTTTTGATTAATATAGAGTAAATGTATTTATAAAACATGTGCAACAATGCAATAATTCTAGTATTTTTTGCTAACAAATCCTTAATTAATATATTGGTTGTATATTATAGTCAATAAATTTAGATTTATATATAGAATATTTGAATTTATAAATAAAGTTTTACAAAAAAAAAAACAATTAATAAATATTAAAATTTTCTAGATTAATTATAATTATATATTTTTAAATTAATTCAATACATTTTCCAAAATAATATTAGTTTATTGTTAATAATTTAAATTAAAAAATAATAAACACATATCAAATTATTTATAATGATTTTTTAAATAATTTATTTTAAAAGAATCATTAATTTAAATACAAAATTTTATAACATAAGATTTTAAAAATTATCTTATATAACATAATAAAATTTATACACCTATACAATAGATAATATAAATATTTTAAAACCATTAAAATATTTATTTTTAACTCAAAAACACTAATTTTTATAAAATTTTATAAAATTAAAATAATAGTTTAATAGTATATAAAAATATTCTAATAATCAATTACAGTAATAATTATGTAATATAATTCTCATATACAATATTATATATATACTAATATTACTAAACTTTTATTTATTAATTATTATATCATATATTACTCAACGACTCTGTGGGTTAAAAACAAAAACAAAAGTGTATTAAATAACACAAAAAACATTATAAGGATTTGGTGTCTAGAAAACATAATAATTTTTTTTATCAATTTTAAAACACAAATTGGATTCAAATAACATTTTCATATAATCCTATTGTATAAGACATACTGTATATTATTTGATGACATTATTATTTTTATTATATTTTTTCTTTTGGTTCATAAAAACGTTAAATCAAAATGTAATGACTCGTTAAATGAGTGCACAAATGGTTATATTTTTCGTAAATAAATAGCATATATATATATACATTAAAATTTTATAGCTAAGTTATATAATATTATTGATTTGATATAAATTTAATATAAACATTTGCATAAAATAAAAATAATGATGATGATTAATTTTGATGCATGCTTTGTGAAAATAAAAAATTATTGATATTTTTTTTGTCAACAAGTGAAACTAAAATTATAATAATAATTATTATTATTATTATAAAAAATATATCACAGGATTTTAACAAATTTTTAATAAATTTATATAACTTTTTTTATTTGGTAAGAAATAGGAATTACGTAACATTTTCTGAATGTTAAATAATATAATTATAGTATTGTTAGTAATTTTTATTGTTATTCAATTTTTTATATTAATAACATTATTGACAATTATTAATTAATTTAATTTAATTTGTATCACTTTATTAATTATTTGATTGGCTAACTGTGCAGTAATTATAAACAGTGATTATCGATTTTATTATTTAGTAATTATGCATTTATTTTATTTCACATTTATTTTTTGGTAATTTTTTTTGGATAATATCTCATCCATTGAATCCATTAAAATATCTCTCTTTTCTTGTGAACTCTTGGAAGTACTCAACAACAAAAAAAACGGTTGGTCTGTCTGTATATGTAAGTGTATGAACTTATTTGTGACCCATTATTACAGACAAACAATGTGAGCACTGGTAGTCAGTTCTCTAGAGTCCATTAGATTTTAATATTTGACATCGAGTTGTCTTTTAATGTCTCTGTGTTTGTCATATGGGAAGTGTTTCACTAATTCTAAGTCCATTTGTGTGGTCATCGCATGTATGGTTGTGCGTAACGCTGGCCTCTATACTGTTGAGAACTATTTCCTCATTGGACCTGTGCTTAGGGTATCCATGTTTGCCATCTTTGGCCACATAACTGAATCGATTGTGTTTCAGCCGATTGTTATGTCTGTCCCGTTTAGATATACAACACGAACAGAGTATCCTACGAAAGGCTCGCCGAAAGTCCCGCGACCAACAGGCATATATGGCCGGATTCATTGCACTGTTAAGCCAACCTAACCGTTCAAACCAAATAAAAACTAAAGTTTTAAAACTAAAATAATGTTATATTTCTGAGCTATATTATTATTATAGTGTAATAATAATTGATTTATTGATTCAGTGAAACAAAAAATAAGTTATATTATTATACTAAATAGGATATACTAATAATAATAAAAATGATTATTTAGTAAACATACCCAACCAGGTGACCACTGATAACAGTAGGTCGGGCTCAAAGACACACGACTCGGCACAGATGCCCATCAATATATTGGTTACAAAAAAAGGCATCCTATTTGTTGAGATTAACAATGTTTGCATAGATAACAAAAAATAAATAAATAAATACAAAAATCTTTATATTTATATTAAATGGTATGTTATTTTTTTAATTTTTATTTATTTACTTATTATTATTTTGTTTTTTCAATAGTAATATAATATTTTTTTGTATTTAAAAAATTAAAGTTAAAAAACTGCATTTCATAAATCAAATCAAATAAGTCTAACAAATGAAAATAAGTTTTTTTAGATAAAAAAATACAATAACAAAAAATTATTATATTTCCTAAGGATATAACTCGTGAATATTATATATACATATAAATTTATATATATATTATATTATTGTATATATATTGTATATTATTTGTAAAAAACAATACATTTGGGGCTAAAATACTTGCCAACAAAGTATGAAGACTCCCATTACTATTCCCAAAGTTTTGGCCGCTTTTCTCTCTACAGTTCCCGACAGCACCAGTAGTTACCAACGGGTTTTCAATTATGAATATTATATATATATATATATATATTTGTGGATAAAAATGTTATTATAAATGCGGTTTCGCATATTGTATTGTATTAAATTCAACATATTATATTGTTTGCCGCAAAATTATATATATATATATATATTAAATTGTTGTTGTTGTTGGTGTTGTTGGATATGACATAAAAGATATAGAAATAAAACAAAAATAAAATTAGATTTTCCGATCTCAATGGTTCACAATCGATGCAAACATATAGATATATAATAGCCGTCAGCGTTTTTATTTTGTTGTTGTAATGTTGTCTATTGTTTCAATACAATTTTATCAAAACAAACAAAAAATAAAAATTTCTACTAAATATATTTGGTACTATATTTATTAAAATGTTATGCTATTAAATGATATTAACTTAAAAGTAAATATTTAAATATATAAAAAATGTACTAATAATAATAGTACTAATAATTATCATATCGACTAAATAATATTTATACAAATTCAATACAATTATACATTAAAACTTTTTTTTACAATAATGAATCTTTTTTTTTGAAAAATATTCTACAAAAACTAATTATTATTATTTTTTAAAAATAATGATTTGAAAAAAATATTAACAAAGTTTTATCAAAATACATGTTGATAATTATTATCAATAACAAAAAATTCAAACAACTATTCAAACAGATTGATGTCAAACACATGTACAGAATAATAATTATAATAATACTAATACTAATAATTATTATTTTAATTATTGAGAAATCATTGTTGACTATCATCCAGAATTTGATGCCACAAAAAAATCTCATATCAAATATATATTTTGTATAATAATAATAATAATGAAAAAATATATGTAAACATAAACAAACATAAACAAACATAAAAAATATATACATAATGTAATGCAAATGTAAACCTTTGGCTAATTTGGCTAATCTTCTACCAACCGACCAATTAGTCTTCATATTTCTCGATCTAATTGATGAACACTTTTCTAAACCGTTTTCATCGGTTCCGCTGATAAACTCGTGATTGTGTTCATCAGAACCGGAATCACCGGAATATTTTGGTCGACATATATGCTGTCCAACCATTGTTTGGTTATTACTATTGTTTGTCACATTTTTGCCGCCCCTATGCATTCGCAGTGTAATTGCATTATTGTTGCCCAACGTATCGCTGGACGAGTTTATCTGTTTGGCGCCCAGTTTTAGACTACGGGTCTGTTTGCTGGCCACCACATAAATACGATAATAGGTAAACACCATAACCATTAGTGGTCCGTAAAACGAGATCGTAGATGAAAATACTAGATAACCGACATCGTCAGTAAATAAACATCGAAATGGTGGTACCGGTTCCTATGAATTATTATTATAGTATAAAACAAACAAAAAAATAAATAAATAAGGACTCAGTTCAGTCAACTGTACAAATAAATATAAATTGGTAGACAATAATAGCCGACAATTATTATTGGATTTTAGTCTCTCTCTCTCTCTCTCTCTCTCTCTCTCTCTCTCTCTCTCTCTCCAAACTTATCTCATAATAATGTAATAAAGCTATCGATTTAAGGATTTGCCACTCGTTTGTCGCTAACATTATTATTATAGTATTACAGCTCTATTGTAGAGCCCAGTCGGTCAGTCAGCGATGGTTTTATATATGATATATACCTATCATTAAAATAAATTACCTTTTGTACGGCTCTCCACCAGAGTATAGCTGGAAATGAGATCAGCGCCGAACAGATCCACAGAAATGCTATAAAAATGGCCGCTTTATTGGGTGTCATACGAGATGGATATGTCATCGGATCAGTGATAGCCCAGTATCGATCTGTTTAGAGGACATGTATTTTCAAAAAAAAACATTCATAAAAATTGCAATACATAAGAAAATACAGGTAATAACAACAAATTAGTCACAAAAAATCAAAGGTTTCTAATATATCAAACTAATAAAAATATGTTTAAATATGCTAATACAGCATAAATTTATATATATAATTGACAGGTAAGTAGTAGTAGTAGTAGTAGTAGTAGCACATACCTAACGAAATGACACATAGATTGAGAATGGATGCCGAACTGGCCAATACATCAAAACTGTGCCATAAATCACACCTTTATTTTATATATCATTTTGAATGACAAACCAAACAAAACCATTAATCATTTAGCAATTAATTTGTAACATATAGAGAGAGAAAAAAGTAAAATAGTAGTTTATGGGTAGTTAGAGTATGGGCTATAAATTTATATTAGCCAAACACACACACATACCAGTCCTGTCCAAATATCCACCATTTGTTCATGACTTCGTGGACAACTGAGAAAGGCATAACAATGGCACCGACCAGACAGTCGGCTGCGGCTAATGAGGCAACAAAATAGTTGGTCACAGTATGTAAGTAACGTTCCCGATAGACACTGAGCATTGTTAATGCATTGCCGAAAACAACAATAACACAAATAATGGCCAAAATGATGGCCAAAAATGGATGGTGTATACGAAGATCGGGCTCTAATATTATAGTCGTTACTACTTTAGTACTGTTCACTGGTGTGGCTAATGTGGTGATGGCTGACGCCGTAATGGTCGACTGATTATCTAATGTACTCAATATGATCGGCACTGATATGTTGTCATCATTGGCGATGGTATCACTAAAATAATTTATATGACTATCATTGCAGCTATAATTACGACAGTTGACTGACGTAATACAGTCCAGAATCTGGACTGAATTCGTCCACAAATCACTACAGTTGATGAGCGCCGGTGGCGTCACATTGGCTTCAGTGCTGAGCCAGGCTGCCGGTGCCCAATAGGTGCTGAAATTTCTGATCAATTGTTCAGCAATGGTGCCGGTATCCACATCGTTGCCACCATCACGGCTGTTATCACTCATATTTGGTATCATTATTATGTTGTTAAAGTTGAAATCACTGTCCAAACAATTTTTAGCATACGATGAGATGGTGATGCCTCAGGTGCTGATCAATGTTGTTGGTCTCGTTGGATGACATAATCACTGGCAAATCACACATAAACATCACACATATATATTATATTATAGGATAGGATGTGCTCCGAGTGCTGTCACAATAATAATAAAAAACTTCTAACACATTATTAATCAAACATTATATTAATATACCAATCATTTTCAATGCAAACTTGAAAACTGTGAAAACTTTCAACTTTTTTCTGGTTTTATTGGATTTGACGTCAACCAAACACTGATAGTCAAAGTAATAATAGTAATAATAATAAAATTAATATTAATATAAATTATAAAAATTAATTTTGTAATAAATGTAATTATTTGCATATTGTTTTGTATAGGATATCACAAGAAAAAAATCATTTGAAATAATAGTTAATTTTTTTATTTCGTGCAATCAATTGGTAAAAGACTTGTAATATTAGATAGAAAGAGAGAGAGAGAGAGAGAGAGAGAGAGAGAGAGAAAGAGAGAGAGAGAGAAAGAGAGAGAGAGAGAGAGAGAACACGTAAGATATGTATAAATTATTAATATATATATATATTTTTTTGTATTGCACCGTATGATGTTAGCAATAATGTAATGTTTATTGTAATAATAATAATAGTAGTAGTGATTGTAGTTAGTTAGCATGTATAGTTTTTAGGTGACGGTAGTAGTAGTATTAAAACAAGTAGGAAATGTCGTGATTAATAGTCAGACAACAACATAACATTAATTTGTTTTTTTTATTGTCTCCAATATACAGTATATGGCAAATGTTTTTCAATAGACACTATCAACTGCTACTATAATACTGTATTAATTTACGACTATAACCGCATTCATTCATATTTAAAGCATTGAGAGTTACAGACATTTGTGAGCACATAGTTATTAAGTGATAACTTATGTGTAATGTAATCCTAATGATAAGATTCATGACCTTACTCTATATGATGTTATTTTTTGTTTCTAACTTTTAGATATATAATAAAATATTTAGCCATTAGATTAACACTTGGGTTTGTAGCAGTTATTGCATAAAGTAGTAGTAGTAGTTGTTGTAACATTAGTTTTTTTTTATAAATAGCAATTATTGTTGGCATTTATTGCCATATATTATTGTCAGCACAGGTGTATTATATTATTGGTATATATATATATATAATAAAGCAAAGTTTGGCATAAATTTATATATAAAAGCTGAAAATAAATTTGATTTATCAAACAAAATATAAATTATGTGCAAAAAATGTTTAGTTCATATCTATTATCTATAATAGACTTGTTGTTAGTTGATATTATTTGGTGAATACTTAAATAACTATATTTTATAACATTTAAATGATTGTCAATTGAGAGAATAATTGTCATAGATTGTCAATAATTGTCAATAACAGTGCCCATTGAAATTCATTTGTAGTTCAATAAAATTTCAACACTTAAAACAATGTTTTTTTTTGTTAAGTACTTTAATTTACGGATAATTAAATAATAAAATTCTTGATTGAAATGTTTTGCTAGTTATTAGAGTTGGTTTTGTTTGACTTGAAAATCAAATTAACATTTATTACTTTTTTGGGGTTTTTTGCACAAACAAACTATAAGTTTATTGTTGAAGTTATATTATATATTTTATATTATATATATATATTGTAGAAATAATTTTTGTTATGCCGTATCTAAAATAATAACTATTTGGACATTAATAAAAGTTTATTAAAAAAATTAATTTATATGAAAAAATTTACACTATTAGAAAAGTCGTTATTTTTTATTTATAAATTTCTATAATTTATAAAACATATAATAATAATACATAGAAATAACTATTATTTTATATAAGTTATAGTATATACCTAAATATCCAGTAGATAATTAAGGGTTTGCAAAATTTCAAAATATTCAAGTTTTCAATTTACTAGTAATTAACATATCATTATATATTATAGTTATATACAATATATTTACATATATTATATACAGTATATTATTATAAATAAAATTTTAAGAGAGAAAGAGACGTTTGATATATGGTTTGAAAATATATTTATGTATTATTTTATTATGAATATTCTTATAAATTATTTGCAGTTTATAGTTTTATACATTTTTCATTTTAGTACTTTTTATGTGATAAATAATCAAACAAAATAAAGAAATTTTTCAAATTTTTTAAAAATAATAATAATATAATATAAACATTGTTATAAACATACGTACGATAGTATGTATAACAAAATAAGATAAAAAATATTATTTTTTTTCTCAAAATTTATCTAATAATATCTACACTGAAAAGATACTGTGTATATACTGTATATATGTATAGTATGTTAAGCTATGTTTGCGCATTCACTGTAAACATCGTTAACAATGATCAGTAGTATTAGGAAAAGTCAAAAGGTTTTATTTTTTATATATATTTTTTTGTTTTTCATGAATATATATCACACTTTACTAACTTATATTATATGTCACTATTTTTATTTGAATTATTATTATTATTATTACTATGATTTTTGTTGTTGAAATTACAAGACATATTTATTTTATATTATTTTTAGTATTTATTTTGTTTGTATCGACGGATATATACAGCGGAAATATATTGCTTAAATAAATTGATGTCTTATATCTCTTATTATTATTATTATATTTAAAAGATACTATACTTTTATAAATAGTTGTCAAAATAGTTGCAATCAAATAAATTATTATCACAAATATAAAAGCAAACATTTTGTGTAAAAGAAAGGTTAGGCTTTATATTAATAATATATACTGTATGTCAAGATCTGACTGATTGTGTGGGTCTTTCCTATTGATTGCTATTATTTTTAAAAATCGTTATATAACTATCACAACACACAGTATAACATTAACAAACTTATAGTATATTACAGTACATTAAATAGAAATATAATAATATAGGAGTCAAAGTTTGCTATTAATAATATTTAATTGCTTTGCAGTAGTATTTAATTGCAATAAATTGTTTACTCTATTTTCTCAAAATTATTATTATTAATAAATAATATACACCGATATTATTTATAATTTTTTTATTTATTAATTTATTTTTTAAGATTAAAATTAATATAGAATTTATTTATCTGTTTATTTGAATTTGAATAATTTGAAAAATATTTTTAATTTAAGTTAAAACTGATTTTAATTTATCTATTAATTTTATAAAGTTGTTAATAAAAATTGAAATGAATTAATTAATTTAACATTAAAATAAAATATTTATTAAATTATACCTAAACTTTATATTTATAATTATATTTATAGATACTGTATTATATTATCTGATACTTGTATATTTAAATTATTTAAAGTTTATAATTATACATACGTTACAAGATTGATGATAATAATAAAAATTAATAATTTTATTAACTACTTTAAAAAATAATTTTTTTAATAACTTTTTCATAACATTTAAAGCTAATAATTTAATTTTTTAACACCTAATATAAACAATTTTACTGATGAGTATATAAAAAATGGTTCAAACAGTCATTTAAAATATAATCGTATGTTTTTAAATAATATAATATACATATTGTCATTGTATATTGATATATTGAATATAAGATATATTGTATTAACACATTTTTTGTACTATTAATATTGATTAATACTGTATACTATATTATTTTGATATAATGTGGAAAATAAACTTAAAATCATTAACAAAACATTATCAAGGTCATTGTTATGATTATAAAATTTTAATTAATAATTTTGATCAATAATATATGATCAATACATGTTTTATTATAGTCATTAGTAAAAATTAATAAAAATATGTTTAAATGTATATAATGTATACAAATTGATTTTCTATATAAATTAATATAAAACTACCAAGTTAATCTATTTATTTTATATTTGTAAATATTAATAATAATAAGAATAATGATAAATTATTTTGTTTAAAAAATATTTAAAAAAGTCAATATTAAAATTAATAATAGATATGTAAATATCTATATATTTAAGTAATTTTTATTTCACTTACTATTATGTTTATATAAGGGATAAGCAAGTGTTTGAATTTTAGAGGGTATATAGGATGGGGTAAAATGGCAAAAATCTCAAATAATCTTAGGAGTAAAGGGGGTGTATTTTTATTGCATTTTTCAAAATCAAAAACCATACCCTACCCTCCATTGCTTAACATTGTTTTTTTATGAATAAGATATTATCTTTTAATCATTATATTTTTTGTAATAAATAACAATTATAGTAATCATTATATTGATTTTAACACTGAAAACATTAATAAACAAAAAGAAATTCACTGAATAAAAAGCAAATATAAATACAAAATACAATTATATTCAATCAATATTAATATTTTCATTACATTATTTATAAGTTCAGATACAGTACTTAATAGCAAAATATTTTTAGGTAATTAGTTGTAAATAAATATAATTTTAAAACATTAAAAAATTTTAGTTTAGTTATTGTATGTTATTTTTATATTATTAAAATAAAATTGTGTAAATCTATTAATATTTACAATGAGATTCTGTATTTTGATTATAACTTAAAGTATATAAAAATTAATACTCTTTAAAACAATTAATATTTATATGTGGATTTAAATGACAAAATAAATGTTAATGATTTTGTTAAATAGTTATTTATATAGATATATATATATATATATATAACACAAATAATCCATTTTGTATTTGATTAATATTAATGTTATACTGAATGTCAATACAAATACACGGATAAATAAATTCCTTATAAATCCATAAAATAAATATTAGTGAATACAAAATATAGTCTGTAGTTGTGTTGATGTGTAGTCAATGTGTATTAGAAATAAATATAAATTATAATATATAAATAAATGATTATGTGATGGATTATCTCAATTTAAATGCAACTATTTTTTTCTTTTGTTTTTTACTATGAGTTTGTGGCATAAGTTATGTTTATTTATTTTTTTTGTTGAAAAAAGTAAAGTAACACTAAAAGTGTTGTGTGTGTGTGTGTGTGTGTATGTATGTATGTGATCAGTGATAGGTAACTAACTGTATGTACTGTACTGTATGTCTACGTGTATGTGTGTTACGTGATTGTTATGTCACTGAAAGATAGCTAATAA